AGGGGGAGGGACGCGAAGGAATGCAATCGTCGCGCGCCCGGCGCCCTCGCCCCCCCCATGGCAAGGGGCACCGGGTGGATAAGACCAATACAGCGCGCTGAGCCCTGGCCCCCGGCACGGCGAGGGGCGCGAAGAATGGAGACGAACGCCGCTCGTTTCTTTTGCCTTGCTACCGACGACGAGGTCGCGCGTGCGATAAGAACGTGCGCCAGGCCTCGCGCCCCCGCCCCCGGATGGCGAGGGGCGCGAGGCATAAGACGAACCCCGAACGCTACACCCCTTCCTCCTCCGCGTCGAGGAGACAGAAGGGGTGCGGTACTAAGAAACGAGGGCGCGAATGGAAATTAGAAGAAAAAGACCGACGCAAAGAACACGTAACCAGGAAAACAGTTTTACTGTGGTCCGGCGACGGACCCGCGCCCCCCCTTCTTTCGTCTTGCTGACGAAGGGACGAAGGGTTCCGCGCGATTGACGACCAGACCGCGCGGTTAGCCGCTCGCGTCGTTCGAGGGCACGCGGGCCCGTGATCCATGGTTGTTCGGAGGACAATACCCCGGGTGCCGGGGTAATTCGGCGTCCATGTCCGCCAAGGAGGGCATGGCGACAAGAGTCATACCCTCACCGCTCGCCCAGTTTCGGGACGGGCGAGGGTCAGGCTCGTACTCGGCGTATGGGTCACGGATGGTAGAGGTAGTCAGGGCACGAGGAGCACCACCCACCGGCAGGGGCGCCGACTGAGCCGAACGCAAGCGGTCGCCCTCGCATCGATAGCGCTCGCGATCGTACACCGCCCCCTCGTAGGCGGCAGCTTGGCGCTCGGACGCCTCGCGCACGGACCCTAGCTCACGGCGGACTCGCTGCAGTTCCGCGGAGCGCGTCGCTAGGTCGTCACGTAGACCGTGCGCTTCATCACTCCGAGTGAGGAACCAGTCAGCCAGGGTATCGACCAACCCGCCTACGGTCTAACCGCGCCGGCTGGCCACGCCTAACGCCCGCACTACCTTGGGGGACCCCTAGTAGAAAATATGTATGAAGTGGCCAATTTCTGTCGAATAATGAAGGCCGATATTTTACTGGTAGTTTGCATGTATATGATACTGGCTTGTCCCTGTTGCCGGCAACGAAATCAGCCAATGGCTGATATTCTCCTGTATTTTTTGCCGGCTTATGACCGATACCCGTTTCGGAAGCAGCCACCCACAGAACAAATATTGGCCAAACCGCAGTAAAGGATTGGTACATCGCATTTTTCATTCCCGGGAGAGGTGGTAATGGCCAACGTGTTGCAAAGGGCTGACAAGCGCATGGCGCATGTATTCGCTCGATGTAGGGGGTCCTCCACTTGAGTGACCCTTTTTTATTTTAATGCGCCATGATCCATGAGAATGGATCTACTGTATTTTATATTGTAGCAATGACATCTTGGGTGACACTGATGCCCCTTCATGCATTGAGATGGCACACTGTCATATGCGCATCAAACACGAAATTTCACCTCGCTACCCTCCCTCCCTCACCCTCACCCTCCTTCATTCTCCCTCATCCTCCTTCATCCCCTCTCAGTCGTATCACCACCCTCCTCACCGTTCACCTTAGCGTCCTCATCCGGCTGACGACCTCTTGGTAACCGCATTTCGAGATCAATGTCTCCGAAATATTGGACGTGGACAGAGGTTCTCCCTGTTGGAAATAAGCGAATTAATCCCTCACGAATAATGCTTATCCCCCAAGACGCAACAATTTTTGCCCCTTTCCGAAAACGAACTTAACTAACTGCAGGGCCGGTACACCGATTTGTAAAGCTCCCCAGGTACAATGTTACCTTGTGGTCCAATTGCAACTTCCCTTCGCCGAGCATTTCGGTGACTTCAACCTTGTATGTTAACAAAGCATGTACCCCTTGCACAAGTGTGATTGCATCTTTACGATGCTCTTTTTCTAAATTTTTTTCAGATCATGTCGTTTCAAGCTTTCTAGACTGTGACTAGGTTGTGGTCTCTCAACAACAGGCGTTTGCGCAAGGTCGCAACATGTTGATTCTGGTCCACGGGCGACCAGCACAAGAAGTTCATTATACTTGGGCAACTTGCAGAGAATCAAGGCCGAAATGCCAACTTCCTGACCCGAAGACAAGAACGGCCGCCATTTCATTGCATCGCGACCTCGAAATATAACAATGACTGCGCTACTAGCTGTATTGTCAAGGGCATCTGAGATTTCCGTTTGAAATATCAGTCGGGAAGATTTGGATCCCATAATGCAGCTCTTCGCTCCTACAAATCCCTGAATATGTTGAGGAAGTTGCAAAGTTGTTAAATCGCGTCGAAGAGTTCGAAAAGCTGTCGTATGAGGCGGTTTGGCAATCAACAAGACAAGATAATTCTCCAAGATTTCAAACAGGCCTCGTCCATTTGTTGAGGGTATGTATCGCCAATCTCGAATCCAGATTGCAGTGTTTCTCAATCGTGGATCAGGAGGAGGAGCTATTGCGAGATGACCGGATGCAGTCCAGCAGTTTGCAGAAATCTTGAGTGAGAAATGTGAGTCAGCGTCGATGATGCCAACTAGGAGTCCTCGCACAAACCTAACTTGAAGACGTGGGGCGTCATTAGCGGGAGGAATTCGAAAGGCGTATGCGCTATATTTTGAGCTCCAGCGGTCTTCGCACGAAGGGTTCCTCTGTGAAAGCCTCCCATATGCAAGAAACTCTCGAAATACAACGTACACAAAGGACCACCAGCTTTGAACAGAAGTGACCTATGAGTACTAACTTTCGTTACCGTATCCTCCTCCAGTGGAGGATGCGGTGTTGGGGGGTGATGAGTTGGGGTAAACGTGATAAGGCAGTCCACCGGCAGTGTCAACGCGGCTTGAAGCAGTTTTGTCTGCTACTGTAGTAGACAGCGCGTCGGTTTCAGTACATGGAGCTGCAGTTCCCAAGCCCGGACGGGGATCTTCCTCGCAGACATCGTTCATATCTTTCAAGGTATTCTCACAGATTGGTGATAGCATACAGTCGCTCGACCAAGACGATCCTCCAAACTGTTTCTTGAAGTCATAACACTTCTGATTTGAGAAAGCCTTGAGCGGCGTTGTGTAGAATACGCGCAAACGTTTACGAAGCGCGAGTTAGACGGCCGTTCAACGACAGTCGTCTTCCCAGCTCCCGTTGGTGCAGGAATATCCGCAAAATATAGAAAACGTACCATTTCTCTTTTCGATAGATCCTGTCTCGACCCGCGCAACGCAATTTCATTGCAAAAGACTTCGTTCTTGTAGATTCCGAGCATGATCGCGTGTACGCCACAACGGGTTACATTAACTGGGGTGACCGCTTACATGTGGTCGAGCTTGGCAAAGTGTCAGAGATTCGCCGGGTGCGTCTGCCCGAGTTGGGCCGCGTGCTAAATTATTTTGAACGTCCGTGTCCCCGCGTCGTAGAGCGAGGATGAGTTCGGTTATCGCATGTTGCGCCGCAGCGGCGGACGACAGAGGAAATAGCCAGCGAAGCCCGCCGCTGACGCAGGAGCGGATGCAAGACGCGCAACTTACCCAACACCCGCATCACCAATAAGCAAGACCCTGAAGAGGTAGTTTGCACGCAAGGCAACTGGAAAAGTCGACGAGGGGTCGGGGGGCAAGAAAAACGGCGAGCGGGGGAGCGCGGGGCAAAAAGGGAAAAGCAGTGTCATCAAACGGTGGAACAATGTAGACTCGGGGGCGACGAAGAGAGGTGATGTGTTACAGCGGTTGCGGGCAGCCGCAGCTCCGCTCGCCGCCCCGGCAAAGCAGCGGCGACGGCGCCGGAACGCGCCCGGTGCCGCTGCGGGCGTTGCAGCCACACGGAAGGCGCCGCGCAGGGGCGCGCCGGAGGGCCATCGCGACGGACGGGACGCGGGCGAGCGGAGCGGAAAGACGGTGTAAGCAACTTACCATACTCATCCTCGGAGCGCGCCATGTCGTCGCCGAGGTTGGGCTTGCGGGGGGCTGATGCTTCACGCGGGGTCGCGTAGACGGGGGATAGAGGAGAGAGGGAGGCGGGGAGGAAGAGGGGAGGCGCTGTGCGAGGCGGGTGTTGATCGTAACGGACCGGGGGCATTGGATTATCGGAATGCAAAGCAGGGGCGCAGGCCACGGATTAGAGGCAAGTGACGTGTCGTCGACTCGTCTCAAACGCAAGCTGGCGGTCAAAACTTTTCCTTTTTTTCTATTTTCCACGGAAACTGTGCCCGTAACGCCGCCTTGCTTCCTACATGTCCTCTTTAGTACGTCCGTGGAAGGCAAACTACGTATCTGCATTCATCAGGGGACAGAACCCCGCTGTCATGCATCTCGCCGTGTGCATCCGGAGAGTGGGAGGTGCCGCTCGTTTCTATTGCCTGTTTCCACAACACGGTCTCGAGCCGTGCGCCCTGGCAGCGGCTTTGTCCAGCGGCCTTGTTCAGAGACGGCGCGCCCCTCCGCGCACGAGTGCGCGGGCGGCGGCGTGGCGCGTGGGCGCTGTTCGCGGCGAGCGGCGGCGCGCTGGGCACCGTGCGGCGCGGCGCGCATTCCATGAGCGTCTCTCCGCGCGGGGCGCGCGGGAGGAGGGTGCTAGCGCGCCTCTGCGCGGTGCGGGGGCCGCGCGCGCGCGGCTGGTGCGCGCTGGGCGGGTGCGAGGCGCGGGGGTTATCGCGGAGAAAAGCGGGCGCGCGCGCCGGCCGCGGAGGACGCGCGCAGAGAAATGACCGTGCAGAGGCGCCCATTGTATGATGCTCATGGCGCGCCGCGCCCTTCCAGCTCGCCGCCGGGAAAAGGAAGCGCCGCGGCAGCGCCTCACAATCCCCGGAGAGAGACGCGCGCACCGCACACGCTGCCCGCGCCGCGTATGATACCCGCGCAACCTGTTCCCGCTGTCGCTGCACCTCCTCCGTCTGCCTACGGCAGCAATGCTGCGCGCACCCGCCCGGACCCACACCACCCTCCTCCCCAAATATGCACGCCCTTCTGCATCCCCCCGCGCGTGTGTGTGTGCGTTGACAAGCTAACGAGCAATGTGTCTTTTTGCGTATCTTGTCTGATTTAGTATTGTAGTCAACCCGAAGGGACTGAAATACGACTCCAACGACTCTGCGTTGATCCCCTGGCAGCGGTGCACGGACGCGGCGCAGTGCATCAATTGGGTGGCGGATGAGGAGCACTCTGTGAATTTTGACGTGACGTTTGAGATCCTGGGCAACTATCTCATCGGGCAGGAATCCAACTGCCGTACGTGTAGGGTTCTTCTTCTCCCTGTCCTTGCTTCGGGGAAACACAGGAGAGCAACTAACACAGACCTTGCTCTCCATTTTTATTATTCTTCTCACAGAGGACTTGACTGTGTTCCGCACACGCGATATCCTGTACCAGTTCAACGCGGGGTGGCTGTACAACCAAGCCGTGAACGAGACGTGGCGGCGCCTTCCGTGTGGCTGCAACGCCCGCAGCGGAACGGGGCGCGTTCCGGCGCCGTGGCCGCTGCTTTGCCGAGGCAGCGAGCGGAGCTGCAGCTGCCCGCAACCGCAGTAACACATCGCCTCTCTTCGTCGCCCCCGAGTCTACATTATTCCAGCGTTTGTGGACACTGGTTTTCGCTTTTTGCCCCGCGCTCCCCTGCTCGCCGTTTTTCTAGCCCCCGATCACTCGACGACTTTTCCCGTCGCCTTGCGTACAGACTAACTCTTCAGGGTCGTGCTTAGTAGGGATGCGAGTGTTGGGTAGGTTGCGCGTCTTGCATCCGCTTTTGCGTCAGCGGTGGGCTTCGCAGATGTAGCGAACCGGAAATTCTACATTGTCGAGTCCGGTACGCAAGGCGTTGCGAATGTGAAATGGCATCTGACAGTGCGTATTCCCCGTGACTAGTGAACCGGGAACTGGGACGGCGGATTCACGGAGAGTTGCTCTTCGACTTGACGCAGGTCATCTGCGTAACACGGAAGACTGCACGAACTTGCCCTCCCACACTTCCCGGACAAACACATCTCCGCCGTGATGATCTATAGCTTCACTCACCACCTGAACCGCGCACTACCCTTTCGCGCTGCATCTGCGCCCACACACACACGCGGCCGCAATATGTGTAATATTCTAAACGCTTGAGCGTCAGCCGCTCTCGAGGAGTTGGTTCTGATTCCAAAGATCTTTTATTGTTCTACTGTTATGCTATGACTTCGGAGTGGTCACGGTCTCTGTTTCCGGAATGCAGTTCGGACGTTCCTACTCAGGGCCTCCTTTAAGACAGCATGGACGGGCATGTGTGGACATGTATGGACGTCGGCCTGCACCTGATTGGTCTATATAATACTTTTCTTAACAGTATGATGGCCCACACAATGTTAAAATAATAGCTTCCATCACTACCAACGTGCCATGCAAAACAAAATCATTGGCTATCGCCACTGGATAAGTGTGAATGAATTCATTCTAGATCCAATTTTGCACATATCGAATTCAGTTTAATCATTTTATTGATGCTCCCAAATGCCACTATATTTGAAAAACGGCGGGAGACTGGCATCCGAAGAAGATACAATTCGTATTCCAACAGCACCCACCCAGAACCCAACATACCGCAGCCTGCCCTACCAACTCCTCGCTCCCTTCGCTTTCCGATCCCCATCACAATGACCACACAAAAGTCCCCCCTCATTCTCCGTCGCAGTCCTCGTTTCCTTAGACCATGTCCCTCGTCTCCGCCATCTCCAAACGCCCGAACTATGCGCGTGCTGCAGTTTACGCACATATCAGAGCAAGAATCTTTTCCTCGCTCCGCACATAGTCCTGTCGATGGCTCCCAAAATAATTCGCCAATGGAACCATTGGCAGGTGCTCGCGTTCTCTCAGTTGACCAGCGGGCGGCTGGTGAGGTCAGAGCCTCGAAAGCCGATGATAAGTGCGCGGCATTCTCTTTTTTGTCAAGCCTAAATGTCAAGCAACTAAGGGGCATATTGAAGGAATGGAGGTGGAAACAATCAGGTAACAAGGGCACCCTCGTCGCTCGAGCATTTCTACAGTTACAAATTTTTGCTTTATCTGGACGAACAATTTGTGCTGCTATGTCTTCGATCCCAGAAACGGCCAGATTCGAGTCTTGGCTTCAGCAGCGTGTGACACTCGACCTGCGTTCTCCGCTCTACTTTTCCCGTGTTCCCGCCGATGCCGAGCTATTCAAGCTTTTGGAAGCGAAAGAGGTTGAAACGTTCAAGAGAAAAAAAGGAAACTTGGAGGAAGCAAGACAAAATGGGGATCAAGTTGTGAGAAGTGAAGATCACGGTGGAGAAGAATTGGACGAGACAAGTGGCAGTCAGAGAGAGGCTGGTCCGGTTAGCGGATTGGGCACGTTTAGCATCAGCGAATTCGCTCGCCTATGCGTCATCATGCGGGATGATGAAGACGCGAAATGCGCCCTGGATGGGACAGGGCAGGAGCTGACAAGGAGTCAGCTGGATGCGGGTTTTACGAGAGACTCATACTGGGGTGTTATCGAAGAGCGCTTTAACAATCCTAATTTGCGCCTTCATCTCAACATGGTTGGGAATGTCGACGAGGTAGACTCTAAGGTGGCACCGCCTTGTCATCGATCGGCTACATTTTTGAAAGATAAATTTGTGGATGCACGGAGGTCCTTCACGACGTGTGTCGAAAATTGGTCAAGGTCTGGACAAAACAACACCGGGAATTTTAAAAGTTACGCAGGGACTCCGGGTGGGGAGTTGACCGCGGAAGGGCAGCGGAATGTTGTCCTTTTTGTCTGCGCACGGAAAGGAACGGAAAATGAGGACACCCGGTTTGCGAATTTGTGCACGAGGGTGATCCCATTCGATAGGGGATGTGACGAGGGTGGCAGTCAGGGAACCAGCGGGATGTCAGGACGAGGAAATCGCAGGAGTATTAATCGGGGAGAGAATTTGTTTGAGAACTCGTGGAGGACCTATTCCGAAGCAGCAGTTGCGGAAAAGCGAGCGAAGGCCGCTGAACGAAAAGAGAAGGCGTTTAAAAAAAGGAAGACCGAGATAGAAAATTCGAGAATGCAGCAATTACAGCAGCGCCAATGGTGTGTTGTGTCCATGGGAAACCTTTACAAGACTTTGAAAGCCCAGGGATTGGACCCAGATGAGTCTTTTGAGGAGTGCGCAAAACTCCAAATGGAGGAGTTAAAAAACGCGTTTTTAATGCCGCAGTCCCGACCCATGGGCAATCTTTGCAATGGGCAGCGATCTGACGGGGACGTGGTTCAGAACCCACCTGTTGTCAGCAGCAATTTGCAACAGGAAGAAGAGATTCCCCCGGCTGACTGTGAAGCGGCGATAGAATAGGATGAGATACGCTTCAATAGATCATGATAGGAGGATGAGGCGTTCCTTAAAGCCAGTAAAGACAGTGGCAAACACCGGCCCCTTCGAAGGGGACGACGATAACCTGCCGGAGCTATAGTTTTCATATTTTGTATCCCTGTACACTTCTTTGACGTTTTCCCAGGCCATTTCCTCACCTGCGGCAGGTGCGGTAGCAGCTGCTGCACTTGCGACCCCTCGTAGAGCTGTCATTAACAACAAATATTGCCAGCACAACCCCTACAACCCCAAGGCACACCAACCCAATCGTACATCCAATATTACCTCCTTTCTGTTCCGAATCCTCGACACTCGCTGTCTGCAAGTCCGAAAGCTGTGGGTTCATCAGCTGTTGAATAGGCCTGTAGCTTTGATCGAACTGAAAAATATGTTCCGGGTCAACTCGTAGCCAGCGTCCGACCTCCCCGACATTTTTGACGGTGGCAGACAATGCAATGACACGCACAGACTGAACTTGAGCAGATGATATGTTCTGCTTGAGTTGGTCGCTGGTGACAAACATGCGAGTTATGACAGATTCAAGTGTACCACTTCGTGAGTTCCCTATATGGTGGACTTCATCGACGAAGAGCAAAGCAATCTTGGACAAAACGCCGGGTACTGCTTGGGAACAAGTATTCCTCGTGAGGCTATCCCACTTTTCAGCAGTCGTCAAGATCAGGTCAGCATTCAGCAAGATTGAATTGGAACCTGCCGCATACACATCTCCTGTCATGATTTCAACCCGTAAGCCGAGAAACGCATATCGCCGTTTCCAGTCATGTCCCTTTTCCATGCAAATGGCTTTAGTGGGAGCAATAAACACCACCTTCCTGGGTAAACCACTGGCAGGTAGGTACTTTTTCTCTAATGAAGTGAGAGCAAGATGCAAGTAGCGAAGAAGGGCAAGTTCAAAGCAAAGCGTTTTACCAGAACCAGTAGGCGCTGAGACGAGCATGTTGCAATCGCTGTCCCATGCCTCAATGCATGTGACTTGCATGCGATTGAATGTATGGTAGGGTATTGCAGGTGTCAGATATGATGGCAATATCGAGGACACCTCCGAAGCCATGAAGTTAGTGACGGTGACAACCGTCCGAGTGTCGAACGGGAAATTATGCCAGGCCTGAAGTACCAAAAAGACTATACGAATGAGTTGTCGTCGTTCTCACCATTGGCAGTGTGCAGAGGGCAGCGTCAACTCTTGCGAAACAAGCCATAACAATTCTTCAGAAAACTCAGGGTTTGTTGCGGTTTCGGTTGAGCTACCTAGCGATTGAAACGAAAATTTGTAGCCCCATGCCGAATCGCCGACGTTCTGCGGAGAGTAAAAGGTACACCAAAAGCTGTTCCCGCTAATGTAAATCGGTTCGACTCCTAACGCGCGCGCTGAGACGCCGGATCTCTCACCGTGATCTGTAACCGTGATTGCGCCCAATATGGCGTCGTCGTCTCCACATCGGAGAGCAGACACATTGTCCCTGGCACTTCACTAGCCCTCACCGAATACACCCGCATCGCGCGCCTTTCGTCAGTGCAAAACTCAAGCTCAGAATATCGCCCCAGAGCCGTCCGTGGATCAAAAACCACTTTCATTTCCGTCGCCCACCGAGGCATTTGAACCTTGAACGTTTGAGACCCACCTCTCGGATGTGGATGACTAGTAGATTCATAACAAGCGGTTCGCTGTCGAACTCGCAATAGAAAACTGTGCCGGTCTCCATGATAGGCATGCTCGAAGGCGGCGTTACCAGCCACTACGTCAAAACGATACTTCTAAAGCATCTTGGCCGGTGGAAATGATCCAAGCGGCTCTACCTCGCGAGCGAAAGTCTCCGTGTCGAAATTTAGAATGCGCAGGTACCCCGGCCGACAGAATCTCTGCAAGCACTCTCTGACTCGCTTCTTCTCCCTTTCAGACATTGCCGAGACAGCTTTTGGCGGCGAAACGCTGCATTGCATGCATCCCCATTCCACAAGCGCTTGCCATATTTCATATTCTGAAGCACCAAGGTTTTCTTGCTTGACAATGTGCAGCATAAGGTCGACAGATAATTCTTCATACGGGGCACACCAGAGTAACTTGGAACAGTTTTCGGCCAGATACTCTGTGAGCCTCACAACGAGTACGCGATTCTGTTCCGAGTCTTGGAGAGCACGATCTAAGACGGTGACGATTTGACGCACATTCTCCTCGTTTCGAAGGTAGAAAGAGACAATGCTTTGCAGACTACCGATTCCAAGCTGCGCAGATATCGAGCAAACATCATATATATCTGCAGCTTGAAGGGCGATTGTGCCGGTGTACACGTATTCCAAAACCTTTCTAAATACGGGCAACGAAACAGAGTCGATAGGAATCTCCATAGTAGAAGTTTTTCAATTATCAAAGGGAAAATCGCTTTGATAATTGTTTGTGTGGTTGAGCTCTCGCATGTCATAGACCAGGCCGTAATCCGCACACGGAAACAAGGGAACATAATCTTCGTTCGACACCGGCAACCAGACTGCCACTCCCTCCGGCGTTCCTAGTATCTACGCTTCCGGAGATGATCCTGGGTCTTCTTCGTCAGTCGGTATCACAGGATTGGGAACGTCGACTTCAGATGACGGAGCAACGAGAGTCGGTGGGTCGGAAAATAAATCAGGCGAGTCGTCAACATCTGCAGGTCGGCTCGGAAAGACTGGTGAAGCCGAGATGGAAACCTGCACTGCATCTAGTGATACACTCGGTCCTATTGGGTTGAAACTCGATGATGGAATAGATGTCCTCGTGAGTAGCATTGTGACCATACTTAGCGTACGTGTTGCTGTTATCGTGGGTAGTAAGCTGTTGATACTCGAGGAAGGTCTCAATGTCTCTGTCGGTACGATTTCGGTTCCGCCTGGTAAAGGCGTAAGATTCCCGGTTGCAAGGGTTTCGGAAACACTTGAAGAAGGGATCGGTGTTTGAGTCGATAGGTTTTCATCGAAACTTGATGAAGGCGCTGGTTTTGGTGTTGGTGTTGGTATTAGTGTTGGTGTCCTGATCGGTGGGGCTTCATTGACACTTGATGAAGGAGTAGGCGTCCGTGTCGGCGAGAAGTCGTTCACACTTGATAGGGGCGTTGGGGTCTCGGTCGGTACAATTGCAACAACACCTGATGACGGCAGCGGTGTCCCAGTCGATGGCAGTAGTGTGCTACCAGTAAACAATGGTACCGGAGTCCAGCGCCAGTAGCAGGCTAAGCGCATCCATGACGTGCTTGAGACGCACGGCATCGCGCGTGCGGATCGCTGTGAGGTTGTACCGCTTGCTCTCGCCCAGTAGCAGATCCGTGAGCCGCACGAGGGTGTTGGGCCACGCCGCGTCTAGGCCCTGCGAGTGGCGGCGCAGTGCAGCACCGTGTGCGGGGGGGCAATGTTTTGCTGCGTCGTGCAGCCGCGCAGTGTCACGAGCCGCAGCGGCCACGCCCGCCACGCCTCGCAGCGGCCGCGCCCGACATGCCGATAGCAGCACGTGATGCGCGCGGCGGGTCGGCAGCGAGACGGCGAAAGTAATGCGTCAGGGGGTGGGCCACGGAGCCGTGTAGAAGAAGATGGTGCATGGGAGCGGCGGGCGTGGAGGTTCGAAATATTTGCAATGAGATCGACAAGGATCTGTGTGTGGGTTCCTCGAGTAAAATGAGGACGCGCTGGGAGTAGGGGCAATCCCCGTACTTTTGAGATAGCGTATCGCTATTTGAGTGCGCCTGAGACCCCTTCACATGCACCTCTACACCTCCACGAGGTAGTCGCAATCGGTCCATCTTGCTCCCCACCATCGAGCGACGATCTCTGATTTTCGCCAGCTCTCTGTACAACAGATGAAGGCTTAGCGGAGCACGCTGCTCCTCGGAGTACGAAACCCCTCCAAGCTGAAGCCTTCTCCGCCGATAGAATGGAATGGCATGTGCCTGCGGCAACGGGTCGAAAAACTCGACCAAGTCCATCAAGGCCGACTGCGCGAAATACAGTCGTGACCCAACTCGATCGCATCGTCTCTTGCTTCGCCAAGTACGTCGCACGAAGGCCTCCAAAGTCTCAAAGTCTCGGATCACAGGCTTGTACCAGCGCGCGACGGTTGCATCTACTTCCAGAATACGAGAAAATTCTCGGAACGAAAGGACCGCGTCCTGCCCACGCCTCTCGTTTTCTGCTTTATCCACGAAATCCAATTTCCCGCTGTAGAGCTTGCGATGCAGGAGCTCGCCGAGGACAGATTGTGCACGCAGTGTAACACGTAATGGGCCGGCGCGAAGAGCCGTTTGCCCATCAGGCGGGTGGAATAGATGCTCCGTCATCTGCATCTCGATAAGAATTTCGTCGCTTGCCGCAAATACACCTTGAATCCTAGCAAGAATATTGCTTAAGACTCTATCTGCTGCATGGAAACCATAATCCAAAATAACGCTCTCCTGCTTGATAATCTCTACCATTGCGAAGTATCGACCGAGCAAATAGGCTGAATATGCTGGAGAAAGAGAGCTGTCAAGACCTTTCTTTTCCACGCGGTCCCAGTCTGCATCCACGATAGAGTGAATTCTGTCAGCGAGCTTTGCAGCGCTTTTCAGAATGGGGGCTGACAGCTCCATGTACTTCTTTCTCAGCAGCGGCTCAATGTCGTCTTTCTTAGCCCTGGCCGCCTTCTGCTGTGCGGCAATGGCAGCCATCTTATTGCGACGTGCGTTGTACCTGGTCCCTGAAATAGTAGATACGGTGGAGATGAGGGCGACGATTACCGGGGCTGGGACAAAGTGTAACAGCTCCCTGACGCGATCTGTTAAAAAGCCGTATGCCGTTCTGGTGACTGTGGACACGATACCAGCCGGTAGTTCGATGATTTTCTTGAAGCTGTGGTTGACTTGCTCTAGCTGCGACTTTTCCTCTGGCATGACAGGGTTGGTGTTTCTTGACCCTTCGGGATTCTTACCCCCGCCGTCATCTGGTTGGCGCTTACCGGGAACGTCGCCTCCGTTTCCAGATATGGCTGAGCCAGAACCAGAACCGGAGTCCAGCTGAGGCTCTTCTAACTCAGCGTCCGTTGCGGTGGGGGAGGAAGTGGGAGAAGAAGATTCCGGTTGTTTGTCCCGTGATGATTCAAGTTCCTCATTAGAGTTGGATGACGTCTGCGAATTCATCTGAAGCGCAACTCTACAGCTATGTGCAACGACTGCCTGGCAAAAACAGGAAAATCAGCCGCACGGAGCGGAACGGTGCGGCCGAGATCAGGGGTACCAACATATTTCCCGAAGACGCTGCACCCACGGAAGGACCCGTAGCACTAGGCCACAGCGTACACGAGATCAATGGCACGAAGATGCTCCCCGTCACCTGCGGGCTCACCGATACATGCGAGCCAGGAGATGTCGATGGAGTGGCGGAAATCTGGGGCAGCAGCATACTGCTCGAAGCTTGAGGACTGACAGAAGAACTAAACCCCGGAGAGACTGACGGCGTCTCTAAAGTAACCGGCAACAGAACACTTGCACTTGCCACCGCGCTTGCTGACGGCGAGCTGGTACCTGAGCTGATGGTGGCACTACCAACCGGTACCTGATTTGCGCTGATAGATGCAGGAGCACTCACGCTTGGTACAGCGCTCTCACTCGGACTCGGCAGTGAAGATGTAACGCTAGACGGCAGCGCGGAATCATCACACACAAGAGCGTCTGCATCGATTCCATCATTAATGACGCCTCTGATGTCGACACGTTAATTTGACAGGACCTGTACTACGTTGACGCGATCCTCGCACACAGTGGTAGCGGCGTCCGATTTTCTGACTGATGTCAGCGCTGTCAACAGCGCCCGAGCCATGAAACACCAACAACCAAACCGAAAACATCCACATACGCCACCGCTTTACCCTCGTCGCAAACCCCTTCTTTCTTCCTACCGCATCCGTCTCCACAGCCGAGTGCTCTTCACCCATCTCGAAATACCGCTCCCGCCCCTCGTATCGAAACCTCACCTTTCCATCGTCCCCTCCGTGCATTCCAAACCCATTCTCATCCCCATCATGCGGATGAAGCGCCATCCAGAACGCCTCCTCCCTCCCGCCTCACCGCTTCACAACCACCCGCCTATGTCCTCCAAATCTCTCCACCCGGTGCATTGCCCAGCCTCCTATCGTCCTCACGTTCACGTCCGCCTGCTCTGTGCGCTCGCTATACAGTCGCTTCCATTCATGCATCGCTTCACCACCTAAAGGAAGGACGCGTAGCCTTGCCAAACATACAGCGATCGACATGCGATCAACACACACATTCACGTCGGGTACGTCGCATGACGGCATTTTCGGCTGTACGCAAAGCTGAATGCCGGCAAGGCTGGTGAGACCAACGGTAGTAGATCAAATAGAGACTGGGTTTGCCACTTGTCGCGAAATCAATTCCACATCCCTTCCGTCACTACTTGCCTGATTGGCCAGACGGTTGCACTTGATAAATTGTTCACATGCGTTCATGATCTACGCTGTAATGGTGCAGCGGTACTTCAGGCCGTTCTCTGCCTTTCTCCTTAACGATTTGAACCAACCTGTCTCGCTTTCTCGAATTAGAACCATTCCTGACAGGCAGAAGTGTTCCGTCGTGACTGCAGCAATCTCTCTCGTATCTGCCCTGAAACTCACGAGCCAATTGTCTTGATTCCTGGCACCACTGATTGATGTCAGCTTCTAAAACTTGTTTCTCGTAGTCTGTTAGCTGATGGGTCAACACAGAGCGCTCTCTGTCGTTTTCGAGCACAAAGTTGTGCAGCTTCATTAGCAAACAAATAAGGTTAGTGCTTTTGTTTACAGAAAACTCCAACCCACCACGTAATATTCTCCAACGGGCAACTAGCATGCCAAATGCCTGCTCTACGTGCATGCGCAAGGAGGATAGAAAAAAATTAAAGTTGTCTTGGTCAGTGTCAGCACCCGATTTCGAAAATGGCGTGATTATGTGCTCTGTGCAGGAGTACGCCTCGTCTCCTACAATGTAGTAACAAGTGCCGAGGATACCCTTGTCTATTTCCCGTTTCAGTCCTGAAACAGAAAAAGCGAGAGAATCGTGTGTTGAACCTGTACAAATTGCAGAACAAAAACGAAAAATATAGTCAGAGTCAACAAGAGCTTGAACCGGGATCGCATAAAAACCTTTCCGACAATAGAACATAGCAGGGTTTTCTTGAGGTTCGGGCTTCTTAATTTTAACACAGATTCCGTCTACCGCACCAACGCAACCCGAAAGCGGATTCATAGATTTCCTTGAAGTTTGAAAGCGCTTTGCAATGGATCGCAAACCTGCGCTACTAGTAGGAAACCCTTTCAAACGAAGCCGCGTCATCAGTGCTTCACACGTAGAATTGAATACTTCGTGCAAAGTACTCTCTGCCACTTGATAGGCAAGGACAAGGTCGAGGTAGCTTGCTCCGGCTAATATTCTTAAGGTGATTCCCAGCCTAACTGCGGGAGGAACTGTACTCCTTCGATATTCTGTGGCCGCCTTGAATGGTTTGTCAATGAGATCTTGCACCTCGTTTAGCAACAGAGCGAATGCTGCTTCTGACATGCGGTATGACTTTCGAAACAGATCGGGGCCTAGTGCTCTCGTTATGTCGTCAAAGGACACTGTATGTCGAGATGGAAGGAGACGCTGGACATATGATTTGCGTCGGCGCTTTCCTGTGAACTTGGTCCTCACCCAGTGGTACGCAGCCCCAGCCACGACGACAAACGAATCGGAGTCCGAAGATGTTCCTGATGACGAAGAGCCTGGGGATCGTGTCGTCATGATGTGCTATGGGGAATGTGTGAGGGATGGATGAATGAAGGATCGTGTGAGACGATACGGTATGATGCACCCCTTGAGCCAATTTACGGATCACGGCGCGCTGGCACAATACATTAAATTATTGGACATGTAATATTTTGAAAATCGCGAACATGTACATCCAAACATGGCTGTCCATGCTGTCTTAAAGGAGGCCCTCACTTTAATCACTTGCGCAGGATCCGGTGTGACATGCGGCGAGATTTGCCCGCAGGTTGCTGTAGTGCAATATGCACCTGAAAAGGGGGGTGAAAAGAAATGAAAATGATGGGGTATGACAAACAAAAGTGGAAATCATTTCACTTTATTATTTTAATTATTAATTTTAATTAGTTGCATCTTAGTTATTTAACATTAGATTAGATCTAGGATCTAGCGCCGAGAGCTACTGTAGTGGCTCCGGCGGGGCGATATATACCTTAGCCCTCTGACCACCAAGTCAGTAAAGGTAACCCGAGTTGCCAGAGTCTGATATCGCCTTGGTTGAAGTCCGTCTTTTACAAGACATTCCCTTTAACTACAGATTACTTTATCCTTTGCGCTCGGGGGTCCCCTTTTTCCTTATCAATTTTCCTTTACTTCCCTATCCTAATTTCCCTTAATCTTGAGTTGGTCCCACCTTGTAGGATTGCGATCCGCAACGTGACGTCATTTGCCATCGGGCTTCTGTGTTAGTGCAACAGTGGTGCTTTTCTCAGTGTTGGTTCCATCGGAATCTGGTTGCGACCGATCCGTTGTTGGTACTTTGCCATCGGGCAGTACGACGGTGTAGCGCTGCTACGTTTTCTTCTTTCCCGACGGGCTACGTTGCGACGTCCCCGTCGAAGACCTTATCAAGGGTATAAGGTGTACAAGGCGCTCTTCGAGCATTGGATTTACGATCCATCGGACCAGGTTTACCTAAACACCCCTCCGAACTCGTCGAGCAGTCGCCTTTACAAGTCTCTACCACCATTTACCGATCCCGGGCTGGGCCCTCCTCTTTGCCCCCCTTATCAGGGATCCGAGCTACTGCGGGCCGCAAACCCGCTTAAAGAGGACAGGGAGCTTCGAACACTCCGTAGCGCTGTGCCGTTGGCAGTTGTTGTTTTGTTGCTGTTGTTTGTGTTGGACCGTCGAACCTTGGTCTCTACCTAACAGGTGCATTGCACTACAAAGTGGTCTCCCGACCTAGAAATTGTTTTATCTACGACAAGGAAGTGGTCTGGGTAACGGACTCTTTTTTTATTTTCTTTTTGTTTGTAACTTTTGTGCTGCGTAGGTCCGCTCGTATGAGCGATGTCAACAAGTGTACCCGGGGACGTCGGTCCCGGGGCGAGTAGAAGCGGATCGGCACGAGCGTCGAGGATCCCGAGGGGTCCTTGCACCCAGAGC